ACTTCATGCAGCCGCCAGGGGGCCGGGGTTACAAGACCCTGCCCCACGTGACCCCGAAGACCCCGCCCCCAATGGCTCCCAAGACCCCACCCCCCACGGCTCCTAAGACTCCACCCCCGGTAGCTCCCAAGCCAGCCTCTCGGGGGCTCCTGAATGGGCTAGTGAATGGGGCGACCCCTTCCGCTGGAATCCCTGAGCCACCGAGGCTGCAGGGTAAGGGTGGGGAGCTGTTTGCCAAACGGCAGAGCCGTGCCGACAGATACGTGGTGGAAGCTACACCTGGTGCTGGCTTTGGCCCCGGTCCCCGGCCCAGAAGTCCTTCTCCCACCCCCTCACTGCCCCCTTCCTGGAAATACTCACCAAACATCCGTGCCCCGCCTCCTATTGCTTACAACCCACTGCTCTCACCCTTTTTTCCCCAGGCTGCCAGAACTCTCCCTAAGGCCCAGTCCCAGGGACCTCGGGCAACCCCTAAGCAAGGCATCAAGGCCCTGGATTTCATGCGGCATCAGCCATACCAACTTAAAACAGCCATGTTCTGTTTTGATGAGGTCCCTCCAACTCCTAACCCCACTTCAGGGCCCACCAAAACCCCCAGAGTTCAGGAGATCCGCCGATTTTCCACTCCAGTCCCCCAGCCCACTGCAGAACCCTTGGTCCCCACTGTGCTTGCTCCCAGAGCAGCTACTACATTGGATGAGCCTATCTGGAGGGCAGAGCTGGCCTCAGCCCCTATCCTTAGCCCTGCCCCTCCTCAAGAGTCTCCCAGGGGCCTTGGGGTCACCCTCAGCTCCTGTGGTTTCCAAGTAGCCAGGCCCAGATTCTCAGCCACCAGAACAGGACTGCAGGCTCATGTGTGGAGACCTGGGGCAGGGCATAAGTGAGCAAAAGTAAGTCCCAGGACCAAGGAGAAGTGGAATATCCAGTGTCAGAAATTGCTTCTCCTTTCCTATCTTACCACTTCTCTCAGGCACCTGGAGGCTAACTTCTTTCCTGCTAGACATAGTTGGATATATGTCCCATTCCTAAGCTTTCTCTTCACTCTCCAACTCCTTTGCTGCTTTCTAACGCATTATCTTTGCTTCAGTCTTTTTGCTTCTTCTTTTTTATTTTTGCCTAGATTTCTGTCTATAACTCCTGGCCTCTTCACTCATAGGCCTCCACAGGTTTCTACTTTTTTTTCCAATATTTTATTTTTCTCTGTGGGCCTTGTTTTAATGTTCAGTGAGAAGCACACTAGGAGCTTAGACAAGAAGTTCACCGCTAGCCAAGCAGAGTCTGAATTGACCCCTGTGTGCATTAAACCCTGTTCCTCACTGTTTTCCTAGGTATAAATTTAGGTATCTATATGTGTGCCAATGAGTATGTTTGAATGTGTGATCAGGATCTGATCTGGAAAGTGGTTAGATACATATGCTCTTGTGTCTGAAGCAAGAGTAAGAGGGAAAATTTAAATAAGCTTTCAATTTGAGACTTAATCTTTTATTGATAGGAGGGTCAGAAATCTCCACATAGACTCTGTCAGGAGGAATGAACTGTATTGAAGAATAACTCGAGACCAGCTTCTGTAGCAGAGGCACAGCATTTTGTGAAACGAATGCAGTCTGACAAGACTGAAGGGCAGGAATAATTTTCATGATGCTGTTACACCACACAGTCCAGGAATAGAACTAAGAATTCTTCTTCTCCTCTGGATTTCATTAAGTTTGCTTCCCCCCCTCCCCCCCAGTAAAACCTGGTATCCAGAAAGTTAAAAAAAAAAAAATCAAAAAATTCTTCTAAAAATGAATAAATTATTATCCTTATTGCTTCATGATTCAGAAAGGAAAGGAAAAAGAGCCAGGGTGAGGAGAGTGAGGCAGAAGCTACCAGGGGAGCAGAAATGAGTAAAAATGATCTAATCACAGATAGGAGTATGGTGAAGAGAGAAAGCAGTGTTGGTAGAAAGTAAAGTTGGCTAGCAAGAAACCAGCTGTGTGCAAGAGGAGTATTGATGCAAGTCTGAAGAATTGTTAGAGTGAAAGAGATGTGAGGATGTTTTCTGAGTGTAGAAAGAAGAGTTGGTGGCCGTGCACCAGTGGCTCACACCTGTAATCTTAGTTACTCAGGAGGCTGAGATCTGAGGATCTTGGTTCAAAGCCAGCCAGGGCAGGACTCTTATCTCCAATAAACCACTAGAAAACTGGAAGTGGCACTGTGGCTCAAGTGGTAGGGTGCTAGCCTTGAGCTGAAGAGCTGAGGGACAGTGCCCAGGCCCAGTTCAAGCCCCAAGACTGACAAAAAAGAAAGAAAGAAAGGAAGGAAGGAAGGGAGGAAGAAAGAAAGAAAGAAAGAGAAGAGTTGGTGGCTATGCTACTATCTCCTGGAAATTTACCCTTCAATTTGTCTTCTACATTTTGTTATGACTACCTAGGAAAGGGCAGAGAGACACACAGGGCCAAAATCTCCTTTAAGTCCTACCCTATCCCTTAAAAGCCCAGGTCTTCTTCCTTTTCAGCTTCAGATCCTAAACCAAGAAAGACATGGATTCCCCTCCCACCAAGACTACCACCAGTCATGTTTGCTGTTTGATCTGGAAAGTAATCATTTCCTTTGCAAATTGGGTGTGAGTCATGGTTCTTTGGTTGTGCACAAGAATAAACTTATGCCTTATACCTTCTGTTTCTGTCATCTTTTCTGGTTTTATATCCAAATCCTGATTTCTCTTGATTACTAATCTGTTACCCTGATCTGATTTCTGATCTCTATTCTTGTCGTTCCCCCTTTTGTTTTTACCCTTTTGCTCCTTTGTTCCTTTCCTCCAAATCTGTCTTATTCCCTCTCCTCTTGGTTTTCTCTTCCTGCAGTCTCCATCCAGGTTCTTTTCTCTCTCCTTCATTACCTTCCAAGTACATTCTTTTCAGAACTGGGAGATGTTGTTTAAAAAAAAAAACAAAAACCCAATGCCCTGCGCCGATGTCTCACGCCTGTAATCCTAGCTACTCAGGAGGCTGAGATCTGAGGATCTCGGTTCAAAGCCAGCCAGGACAGGAAAGTCCATGACATTCTTACCTCCAATAAACCACTAGAAAACCGGAAGTGGCACTGTGGCTGAAGTGGTAGAGCGCCCGCCTTGAGCTGAAGAGCTGAGGGACAGCGCCCAGGCCCAGAGTTCAAGCCCCACATCTGACAAAAAAAAACAAAACCAAAAAATAAACCTCTTAACCCTTCAAGATTTCCCAGCTCTTTGGAGGAAGCAACCATGTTAAACATAATTCTCTAAGAATTAAGTGAAGGCACGTGACTAGGTATGATATGGGATGGGAGAAGGAAGAAAGGCAGATCAGTGTGAATTGTGACAAATAGAGAAGGGAAGGCACTGGAGGAAGATTGGAATGAAAGACATTTTTAGAAGGAAGGTGCCATTATTCAAGTTTACCAGCAGAGGGCACGTTTGTGCCAATAACTAGATATCTACCACTAGGCACAATCTGATTTTTTTTCCCTCCTGACCTGTGACTTGAAATCTGGGCCTAGGCACTGTCCTTGATCTTTTTTTTTTTTTTTTCAGTACTGGGGTTTGGAGTTTCCCACTTATTTATTTTTTTGGTTGGTCCTGGGGCCTGAACTCTGGGTCTGGGTGCTGTTCCTCAGCTCTTCAGCTCAAGGCTAGCACTCTACCACTTGAGCCACAGCGCCACTTCCAGCTTTTTCAGCTTACGTGGTGCTGAGGAATCGAACCCAGAGCCTCATGCATGCGAGGCAAGCACTCTACCACTGAGCTACCTTCCCAGCCCCTTGATTTTCTTTTTTTTTGCTCAAGGATAGCACTCTACCACTTGAGCCGCAGTGCCACTTGCAGCTTTTTCTGTTTATGTGGTACTGAGGAATCAAACCCAGGGCTTCATGAATGAGGCAAGCATTCTACCACTAAGCCACATTCCCAGTCCTGTTATTTATGTTTTCTAATAGCTTCCTTGGGTTGGACAGAAACAGAGAAGATGAAGGGTCTAGAGGCACAACTGGTCTGGGCAGTAGAAGCTGATATGGTGAGGGGTGGGAGGAGGATATTCAATCCTTAGGATTTATTTATTTATTTTTGGTCAGTTGTGGAGCCTAAACTCTGGGCCCGGGCACTGTCCCTCAGCGATTCAGCTCAAGGCTAGCGCTCTACCGCTTGAACCACAGCTTTTTCTGCTTATGTGGTGCTAAGGAATTGAACCCAGGGCCTCATGCATGCAAGGCAAGCACTCTACCACTGAGTCACCTTTTCAACATGAGAAGTGTAGGATGGAAGAAAGGCATGGCCAGGAAGAATAGAGAGTTTACTGAGGCACTAGGTATATTCTGAGTTTCAGAATCACTTCCTGCTGGGAATTGGTGGCTTACACCTGTAATCCTAGCTCTTCTGGAGGATGAGATCTGAGGATTGCCTTTCAAAGCCAGCCTGGGCAGGAAAGTCCATGATAATCTTCTCTCTAATTACCAAGAAGATGGAAATGGCACTACATCTCAAAGTGGTAGAGCACTAGAACACAAAAGCTCAGGGACTGTGCCCAGGCCCTGAGTTCAAGCCCCAGGACACACACACACACACACACACACACACAGAGTCACTTTCTAGGCTGTGATAGGGCAGTGATGGCTGTAGTGTCAGAGCAGTGGCCACTGATTCTAGCTGGTTTTCTCTCCTACTCTGAATCCCTATCCACCACTTACTGACTGTTTCCTCTTTCCCCTTGTCTTCAATTTCTCACTGAATGCTTTGGATCTTAGACTGTAGGAACAAAGGAAAAATAGAGCTTCTGGGCAGATTTACTCCTGGCTCAGACAACTCAGTAGAAGAATCCCAAAGGTGTTTCTCCTCTTCTGAGCCTCTGGGCAAAGAGTACAGGATCTTGGTTTCAGGGTCTCAGTACCCCCTGTGCCATTTGAGCTGCTTGCACTCATCATCTCTATTTATAACTACCCTCCCTCCCCCACTGCCAGTGCTGCCCCCACGCCTGCCCAGCTCAGGTTCTCCGGTCACAGCAGCTCAGTCCTCCAAAGCTGCTGGACCCCAGGGAGAGCTGACCACCAACTGAGCAGTCGGTAAGTTTGCAGCCCTATGACTCAAGGGGCTGGAGCCCCCTCTGCTGACTTTTGTGTTTGCAATTGATCCTGCAGGAGTAGCCTTTGTCCCCATCTCTGATCAGCTCTCAGCTCTCTAGTTCAGGGAGCAACAGAAAGTTGGAAGGAGAAAGGCCAAGGAAGTTGGACATGGCAGGGATGGGGGGGGGGGGATGAGATATTAGAGAAGTCTCCTGATAAATAGGAATGGAGTCTGAGACCCTGCTAAAGTGGTCAAGTTGCGGGTGTGTTTTTAAGACAGGACTCCGAAGAAGATAGAATGTCTCTATGTGTCAATTTCTGTTAAGGAGGAGCTGGAGTGTATCTTTGCCCAGTTTGGCCTCATCCAGATCTTATTACTAAATTCCAGTCTTCCCTCAATTTCCTACTGCTATGATAGTGTTGATGTGACACGCATCAGTGTCTGAATGCCCTCTCATTCCCTTTCCATTCCAGCTCTGAGGTCTAGTCTAGGCCAGAAGTGACTGAAGGAACAGGGAGCATACCCATGACCTCCCAAGGCCATGTTCCAGCTGGCCCAATGAGAGAATAACAACTTCTATGTAGAAAGTCCATGAGACTCCTATCTCTAATTAACTACCAAAAGGCTGGAAATGCCCCTACAGCTCAAAATGGTAGAGCACTAGCCTTGAGCACAAAAGCTCAGGGACTGTGCCCAGGCCCTTCTTTCTATGCATTTTTAGTTGAATCTCCTCAGGTCTAGTAGATTATTTCCTTACTCCTCTGGGCCTTGAGGGAGGATGGAGGAGCAGAAACTAGAGCTTGGAATCATAGCCTTACTCTGATATTTTCAATGCAAATAAAGAGTCCAATTATTTCATGCCCTTGAAATCATCATTGTTATTGTCTTTTAAACACTCTGCACCCCTCATCTATGTTCCTAATCAACACAGGCTGTATGTAAAGCAGCTTATGACACACTGGTAAAAGGTAAGGACAAGGCATGCAGTTACATGTTTTGTTCTGCTCCCTTAATAAACAGAAGCCCCAAAGCAGTGCTTTTTTTTTTTTAAATCTTTTGGAGACATATACATTCCTATATCTATCTAATGTGAGGGCTGAAGACATAGCTTAATGGTAGAGCACTTGCCTGGCATGTACAAGGCCTTGGCCTTGAGTTAACACTAGTGGTGGGAAAGGCAATAAGGAATAGATACGGAAGAAAAAAGAAATACGAGATTTGTGTCCTTAACTCTAGGTAAAGCACTGCCTTGCTGCAGACATCCACTTTTCCATGTTGTCTATACTTTATAACCCTTCCACCCATCCAGATTGAGTCCACCTCCACAATGCCGCTCTCAGGAACACCAGCCCCTAACAAGAAAAGGAAATCCAGCAAGTTGATCATGGAACTCACTGGAGGTAGGGTATGCTTGCTCGTATTAAGGACAACCGTGACTCAAGAGTCCCAGAAATAACATAGGTTTGAATATATTTTAAAAACAAGAGGAATTCCTCTGATGGCAGGATTTGGGGATGGGGTTAAGGGAGAGGTAAGAAGGGAAGAGAGAAAGAGGTAGAAAGGATTCAATATTAATTACTTACTGTTCTACCTTTCACCTTGTAATCTGAGATGATGCCTTGCCAGGTCCAGGGCCGCAGGAGCCATGGTCAGGGAGTGTGTTTGAAGAAGAAAATATGATAGAGACTGGTATAGACTAAATGTCTTAGTATATGGCTAATCTTTTCCCCCCTAGAGCTAGGGAACCTAGCACTGGGTAAACACTTAAAATGAACAAAACTGTGGAGGCATGCTACCTGTGGAGGAAGGATTTGAAGAGCTTGCTCAGGCCTAGAGGCTCTTTGGAGCCAGAATTTTACTGAGAAGGGGAAGAGTTTGACAAGAATCTGTGTTTAGAGGTGGCCAACTCCATGTAGGACTGGCCTATTAACACTCCTCATCCTACAGAAGGTTTCTCCAATGCTTTCCCCTACCATCTATACTTTTTGCTCTCCATTCTAAGCCTATATATGACCCTTTGACCTTCTTCATATCTCTTCTCTGGTAATCCCACTGTTAAACCCCTTGTAACCGAGCTTCTGAGCATTCTGTTTAACTCTAAATTCACTATGTCAAAAAGTTCTCACAGGCTGGGATTGTGGCTTAGTGGTAGTAGAGTGCTTGCCTTGCATGTATGAAGCCCTAGGTTCCATTCCTCAGTACCACATACACAGAAAAAGCTGGAAGTGGAGCTGTGGCTCAAGTGGTAGCCTTGAGCAAAAGCAGCTCAGGGACCCTGAGCTCAAGCCCCAGGACTGTCCAAAAAAAAAGGGGAAAAAAGTTCTCACAAATTAGAAAGACCTTGACCAGACATCAGACAACACAGAACACCCTAAAATGATCTCTCCCAGCACACACTTCGTTGTGAAAGGTGTTTGCATTCTGAGTCCAGAAAAAAAACAAAAAAAAAAACTACTTTCCTCTTTCCCTTGCTTCCTCTTCCCCACCACCCTGAAAGGTGGACAAGAGAGCTCAGGCTTGAATCTGGGCAAGAAGATCAGTGTACCAAGGGATGTGATGTTGGAGGAGCTGTCCCTGCTCACCAACCGGGGCTCCAAGATGTTCAAACTACGCCAGATGCGGGTGGAAAAATTTATCTATGAGAACCATCCTGATGTTTTCTCTGACAGCTCAATGGTGAGTTTGGAACAATTATTCTCTCAGAGCTTGGTGCTCTCCCCACTCTTTTTTTGGACAACTTTTTGGTAGACCCTGAACCATCTAAAAGTCCCTCAACCTCTTCTTCCTGAAAATTTATAAAGTCATTAAGCCCCTAGAAATAATGAGCATCCAACTATTGTAGGGTGAGCTACAGCCCATCTCTGAAACTTAGTCTCTGTCTTAGAGCTAGTGAAGGAGAGGGGAGTACCACACCCTCAGGGAGAAAATTCCTTCCCAGTATGGGTGTTAAAATAAGGTTGCCAGATAAAACAGAACAACCAGTCCTGTATTTTGAAGTTACGATACACAATGAACATTTTTCTAGGTAAATATGTACCATACAATATTTGGGACATAAAAGTTTAAAAATACAGAATGCTGGAGGTGTAGCTCAGTAGTAGTGTATGGTTAGGGTTCAATTCTCAACACCAAAAATAAAAAAAAATCAATGAAGCAAACAAAACTCAAACAGGATTCTGAGTTAAATTTGACTTTCAAGTTTATATAATGAATTATTTCCTATTATGCAGCAATTAAAACATAAAAATATATACAAGATGCCTGCCCAAATGTGGATTTCAGATGTATAATGAAGCATTTCTTAGTACAAGCATAAACCACACAATGTTCAGGGCATGTTTATACTAAAAATTGTTATGTATATGAACTTCAAATTTGAATGCTGCCCTGTAATTTCATTTACGAAATCTGCCAAGTCTAGAAAGTGTTAAATGTGGTTTTATAGCCATCTTCTTCTTGAGTCATTCTTTTTTTTTTTTTTTTTAAAGGAAGCGGGGTCATTCTCTCCCTTAGAGACTCTAGGTAGATGACTGAAATCTTCTTTTTTCAAGATCCTACATTTTCTAGTCAGGCTCCTTGTCCAAAGAAAGAGGAGGAAAAATTGGAGAGAGGCAGGGCACAGGATGTTACAACTAGGGAGGGGGAATACCTTTTCTATTTTCTTTTTTCCTCTTCTGCCTTCTTTGAGTGACTGAGTATAGAAATAGCTATCTACATGGTTGGAGCTAGGGCAGGAGTGTCTGTCATTGGCCTTTATGTAGGAGCAGGGTAAAAGTGCTGAGAGGGTCATATCTAACTTTAGGAGACTGAAGTCCTTCTCTCCCCTGGATCTGGTTACAACTGGGTGGAACATGGGGGTATACATGGTAAGGTGGCCAGGAGAATCTCCTTAAGGAGTTGGTGGGGTTATTTTTAGGCATTGGGACTGAATCCAGTGTAGTGCTGTAGTTTCACTGTCAGGAAGTACTGGTTCAACAGGCACCAAGAGGGGAAATAGAGGAAAAGGAAAAGAGTTAATGACTGTTGGACTGAGGAAGGGAGAGGGTAGAGATCTCTATAGTTCTCCCAGTTAAGATTAGGATTTCCCTAACAACCCATTCTCTCAAGTTTTAGTTGAGAAAGAAGTCTTATTTAAAAATAAGACAAAAAGAGGTCTTATTTAAAAAAATAAGAGGACACCCAACTCTCTTAAGGATAACTTCTTAGTCACTCAGTCCACTATCTATTTATTTGAAGGGGAATATAAGAGGATTCAGGCTTTTTACTTCCTCCTTTACCATATATAGCTTTGTCTTTGTCTGTTTTTATATTTGTTGCTAACCTTCCCTTTGTTTTGTATTTTCTTTTCAGGATCACTTTCAGAAGTTCCTTCCCACAGTTGGGGGACAGCTGGGTACAGCTGGTCAGAGTCATGGATTCTCCTATGGTCAGAGCAGCAGTGGAGGCCAAGCAGGAGGCAGTGGCTCTGCTGGACAATATGGCTCTGACTATCATCACCAGGGCTCTGGTTCTGGAGCTGGGGGTGCAGGTGGTCCTGGGGGCCATGCTGGCAGAGGAGGAGCTATCGGTACAACAGGTGCTGGTGAGACAGGATCAGGCAAGTACTCATATCCAAAATTAATGTCTGGTTCCTAGAGCAGATGTCCCTAGAAAGGAGGTCCAGGCTGGATCTGGCTTTTCAGATTCAGTCATCTGACCCCATCCTGTCGTTATGCCACAAACCTTACATAATTCTTGGGATGTTATACTTTTAGTCTCTTGTCCTGGCAACTTCCCTAGTGTGAAGGTAAGGGATAAACTTCATTGGCTACTAACTAACAATTTTAATTTACTTTTCTTTCCTGTGGCTACCAGGAGACCAGGCAGGTGGAGAAGGAAAACATATCACTGTGTTCAAGACCTATATTTCTCCATGGGAGCGAGCCATGGGGGTTGACCCCCAGCAAAAAGTGGAACTTGGCATTGACCTGTTGGCTTATGGGGCCAAACCTGAACTTCCCAAATATAAGTCCTTCAACAGGTAGGGCGGCAGGAGAGGAATCAGATGCATTCTAGTGTGTGTCAATGTCTCTTAGTTGACATTAGACTTATAGTTCAAGTGTTTCAGATTATGGAGGAATGGCAGGAATAGGGGGACCCTAAGGGCAGGACTTTGCTCTTTTAACTCTAGCTCAGCTTCATCATAGCACTGTGATTAAAGAGAAATTCATTAGAAGGCAGGATATGAATCTTGTCCATAGGCCACTTATTAGCAGTAATATATGTGTGTATATACACACACATGTCACCTCTGAGCCTGGTTGCTTTAAATGGGAAATAATGCATTTATTATTTAAAATAATGTAGCATGCCATTAAAGACTTCTTGAGGGGCTGGGAAGGTGGCTCAGTGGTAGAGCATTTGCCTTGCATGCATGAGGCCCTGGGTTTGATTCCTCAGCACCACATAAAGAAAAAAGCCTAGAAGTGGCACTGTGGCTCAAGTGGTAGAGCGCTAGCCTTGAGCTGAAGAGCTGAGGGACAGCGCCCAGGTCCAGAGTTCAGGCCCCACAACCAGACCCAAAAAACAAAAAACAAAACAAAACTAAAGACTTCTTGAGGATCCCTTCTGTTCCAGGTCAAAATTTTCTAACATTCCTTGTAGTATAATTGCATTCCTTTATACTGCACTAAGTTATGAAATATCTATACTTTTAGAATTGGGCATCTCCAGGCCATGGATAGAAAATCTTATGTGAAAGCAGGGCAGGGAAGATCTAAAGCAATGCTTTTGCACTTGTTAATTCCTCTCATCTAAGCCATCCATTATCTATTTGGGGCCATGGTGTAGTTGTGGGGGTTGTCTCGATTTAAGATGAGCCCAGCTGGGCGCCAGTGGCTCACACCTATAATCCTAGCTACTTAGGAGTCTGAGATCTGAGGAGTTTGGTTCAAAGCCAGCCTAGGCAGGAAACTCTGTGAGACTGTTATCTCCAATAAACCACTAGAAAACTGGAAGTGGCGCTGTGGCTCAAGCGGTAGAGCATTCACCTTGATTTGAAGAGCTGAGGGACAGCACTCAGGCCCAGAGTTCAAGCCCCATGACAAAAAAAAAAGATGAGCCCAGATCTTTAGGTCTATATGGTTTACTGTTACTTTTTTGAAATGCTGGTATGGGTCACAACTACGACCTAGACTCCTTTTCTTATTATTAATTTTGAGGAAACAAGCAAACCAGGAAGAGGAGGAACAAGATACTAAGAAAGAAGAAAAAATAGCTGGGCACTGGCGGCTCATGCCTGTAATCCTAGCTACTCAGGGAGACTGAGATCTGAGGATCGTGGTTCAAAGCCAACCCAGGAAGGAAAGTCTATGTGACTCTTATCTCCAATTACTCACCAGAAAATTAAAAATGGTGCTATCGCTCAAAGTGGTAGAGTGCTAGCCTTGAGTACAAAAAGTTCAGGGACATTGACAAGGCCCTGAATTCAAGTCCCACGATGACCACCACCACTACCACCACCAACAACAAAGAAAAGAAAGAAAGAAAGAAAGAGAATGAAAGAGAGAGGAAGAGAGGGAGGGAGAGAGGGAGGGAGGGAGGAAGAAAAAAACAAAGAAAAATAAAAAGAGCAGACACAATCTCAAACTAGAATTTGCAGACTTCACCTTTTTCATTAAAGTATATGGGGGCTGGGAAGGTGTCTCAGTGGTAGAGCTCTTGACTTGCATGCATGAGGCCCTGGGTTCGATTCCTCAGCACCACATAAGCAAAAAGAAAAAAGGTGGAAGTGGCGCTGTGGCTCAAGTGGTAGAGCCTTAGCCTTGAGCTGTAGAGCTGAGGGACAGCGCCCAGGCTCAGAGTTCAGGCCCCACCACCGGACCCCCCCAAAAAAAGAAAGCATAAGGGCTGGGAATGTGGCTTAGTGGTAGAGTGCTTGCCTAGCATGAATGAAACTCTGGGTTTGATTCTTCAGTATTACATAAAACAGAGAAAGCTGGAAGTGGTGGAGTACTAGCTCAGGGACAGTGCCCAGGCCCTGAGTTCAAGCCCCAGGACTGGCCAAAAAAGAAAAAAAACAAGTGTAGCATTTCATTGATACAATCCTGTTTCTTCTGTTGTTATTCTTAACTAAATAATATGTCCCCTTCTCAGGACAGCAATGCCCTATGGAGGATATGAGAAGGCCTCTAAACGCATGACCTTCCAGATGCCCAAGTTTGACTTGGGACCTCTGCTGAGTGAGCCTCTGGTCCTCTACAACCAGAACCTCTCCAACAGGCCTTCTTTCAATCGAACCCCTATTCCTTGGCTGAGTTCTGGGGAGCCTGTAGACTACAATGTGGATGTTGGTATTCCCCTGGATGGAGAAACAGAGGAGCTGTGAGCTGGTGATTCTTCCTCTAATTTGCATCATTTCCCCTTTCTGGTTCCAATTTGTTGAGGGATCGCTGAACAGGATGCCTCCACTGTTAATCCAATATCCTTGTGGGAATAGAAGGGAAAAGGTGGGTGAGATCTGCTTCTCTAGCCTTCATTTCCCCATTCCAAGCATACTTCCTCACCAACTCAGAGTTCCCCTTCTACTTATAACATATGGAACCTGCTCTTTTATGGATTTTTCCCTGCCACTGGTAACAGTCAATAAACTTCAAGGAAATGAACTCATTCTTCCTCTGATATGTGAGGGCAGATGAAAGCTGAGACTAACAATGCACAAAGACTAATTAAAGCCAAAGACTAAACACACCTTATTTAGACTTTATGACCAGACGGGTTACTTACATACCACACCCACAAAACCACATTCATTAGGTATATACAATGGCATACTTATTTAGTAGTATAAGACAAATGCACAAACACATGTGCTGGCCCACATGTGGGCAAAGCGAAAAAGCTATTGTGTAAGGAGGTTAAGAAATAGGTGTTGATAACACTGGTGTAAATTCTATTTATCCAATTAAAAGCTATGAAACAAGAAAACTGGGAAAGTAAAATGAGGGTATTAGTGAAATGAGCTCCCTTCCTATATCTTAGTACATTCCTTCCCCACTCCACAGCTTAGCATGTTCCCTTCCTAGGCAATACTAGGCCCACTTAGTAAAGGCAGTAAATAATCAGCCTCCAGTCCTCTTTACCTTGGGATGGCATGTCTCTGGGGCAGCTACCACCATATAAGGCAACAAGAGCTCCTTAGAGTGACCTTCAAGTCTGGGCAGCTGCAGGGCTCCTTATCTACTACTTGGGCAGCAGCCATAAATCCTAGTCTGCCATGATGAAGCCCTCATGTCTACCCCAGGTGTCTCTGCCTCCTAGCCCCTTCCAGACCCTCCTAAACCTCCTAGGTTATATAAGTCATCTCAGACAATAGCCAGTTCTTCTTCTCTCTTCTCCCTTGTGAGAAGGGGTCTTGCCAGCCCCTTTCCTGGCAATAAACCTTTCTTTGTTCTCTGTACCTGGATGTCTGTGTGGTTTTCTGGCAAAGTTTAAATAATCTAACAGAGGGTTACTTTGATTGTCACAAAACTAGAGCACGGCTATAGTTTCTAGATGATAGCAGAATGAATTTAGGAATATTTATGTTAAAAGTCACAGATTCACAAAAAGGTTAAATAGAACCCAGAAGGAACCCAGAGGGAAATAGGAGATTATAATAAGCTCGCACGATCTGAATACAACACAAAAAGATCTAAGAACTACAGGGATACCACAGTGGTCCTCAAAAAGCTATATAATTGGGCTGGGTATGTGGCTCAAGTGGTAGAATGACTGCCTAGAAAGCACAAGGCCCTGAGTAACACACACACACACACACAAAATATGTGTTTGCAATCCTAGTAGGGCTTTGTTAAGCAAGCATGTGACCATTGAGCTAAATCACCAGCCCTGAGAAAGTAATTTCTAAACTGAGCACTAGTGGCTCTCCCTTGTAATCCTAGCTACTCAGGAGGCTGAGATCTGAGGATTGCAGTTCAAAGCCACCTGAGCAGGAAAGCCCATGAGACTCTTATCTCCTATTAACCACCAGAAAACCAGTAGCAGTGCTGTGGCTCAAGTAGTAGAGCTCTAGCCTTGAGCTGAAGAGCTGGACAGTGCTCAGGCCGAGTTCAAGACTCATACCCTCCCCACCCCACCCCCCCAAAAAGAAAGAGAACTTCTAAGAAGAGGTGCCTGAATCTATCCAATTTCACAATCTGTTAATAGATTAAATTGCTCAACTTCATTGGATTAACCAAATCTTAGAGGACCTTTACATTTATTCCTATAATCTTCATTTGTAACATAAAGAATGAAATTTAGAGGATTCACACAAAACTCTATATAAAACTGTATTGCGATGTGCATTTTCCTAAGAAGAGAGTTTTCATAGTGTAGATTTTCTTGCACGTAGATCCTGAAACAAAGGTTTAGACTTAAGTGGTTCATTTGGAAGGTATCCCAGAAATTCAAGCAGTATAAAAAAATACTAATAAAAGATAATCAAAGGTGTTTTGGGAAAGTGGAACTGAATCTCATTGGGACATCTGAAAGAACAATGTTATTCAAAGAATAGTCTATGATGCTGGCCACATCAGTGTATCCTAGGAACTCAATTAGAAAAGCAAATTCCTGCGGGGGGGGGGGTGAGCGAGGGAGGTGGGGGAAGGAAGAGATAGTGGGAGAACAATAGAAGGGGTAACAATGCTGGACAAGAAATGTATTTACTGCCTTACTCATTATCTTTACAATAAAATAAAATTAAAAAAAGAAAAGCAAATTTTTAGAAGAATTTATCTTATTACTTTCTCTAAGTGATCCTTGTATGATAATTTTTTTTTTTTTTTGGGTCCGGTCGTGGGGCCTGAACTCTGGGCCTGGGCGCGTCCCTCAGCTCTTCAGCTTAAGGTTAGCCCTCTTGAGCCACAGCGCCACTTCCGGCTTTTTTCTTTTTGCTTATGTGGTGCTGAGGAATCGAACTCAGGCATGCAAGGTAAGCGCTCTACCACTGAGCCACCTTCCCAGCCCGTATGATAATTTTTTAAATTTTTCTAATTTACTTTGTTTTAGAGATGATATACAGCAAAGTTACACTTATCAACGTCAGGTAATAAGAACATTTCTTTTCACATAGTGTCATCTGTTCCCTCATTCTCTCCTGTTCCCCCCTCCCATCTCCAACTACGAGTTTCAGAGTTTACTTTCATCAATGTCCAGCACAGCCAATGTGTTCCATTGCTATACTTTTTCACCCTTTTCCCTCTGATTCTGTGCCCTCCCATTAATTATTATTATTATTGCCATTCCCAGGGCTTGAGCTCAGGGCCTGAGCACTGTCCCAGAGTTTCTTTTGCTCAAGGCTAGTGCTCTACCACTTAACTATAGCGCCATTTCTTGCTTTTATTTTGTTGGTCGTGGGGCCTGAACTCGGGGCCTGGACGCTGTCCCTCAGCTCTTCAGCTGTAGACTAGCGCTCTACCACTTGAGCCTCAGCCCCACTTCCGGCTTTTTCTGCTTATGTGGTGCTGAGGAATCGAACTGAGGGCCTCATGCAAGCCCTCTACCACTGAGCCACCTTCCCAGCCCCATTTCCTACTTTTTGTGTGTATGTGGTACTGAGGAATCCAACCCAGTACTTCATGCATGCTAGGCAAGCACTCTGCCATTAAACCACAATCCTAGTCCATAAGGTTATTTTTTATTGTTAAATACCCAGTCTCTGCACACACTTGAGTTAGCAGTTTCAAGAGTATCACCTGAACTCACGTGTTTACCATTTCACAGTCAGGTAGATTACTGATTCATTCCTAGAGACTGTGTGTGTGCTGTTTAATGCTGTAGTCACTAGGTGCATGTTAACTTTTGAGCTCTTGGAATGTTCCTAGTTGGAACCAAGGAAAAAAATCAGCAAAGGAATATTATTAATATCAGTGATCACATGCCGAGGAGCCACTGAATATTTTGAGTTAAATAAAATATATTGCTAAAATTAATTACACTTGTTTTAAAAATGTCAAATTGTGAAGTGTGGCTCACAATATATACCTATTGAACAGTGGTCTAGAATGCAGTACTTTATTTTTTATTTTTATTTTTTGGTTGGTCATGGGGCTTGAACTCTGGGCTTGGGCGCTGGCCCTGCGCTCTTCAGCTCAAGGCGAGGGCTCTACCACTTGAGCCACAGTGCCACTTCCGGTTTTCTAGTGGTTTACTGGAGATAAGAGTCTCACGGACTTTCCTGCCAGGGTTTTGAACCGCTATCTTCAGATCTCAGCCTCCTGAGTAGCTAGGATTACAGGCATGAGCCACCGGCGCCCGGCTTACAGTACTTTGAGAGCTTCAAGAAGGAAAAAGGAATTCCTTTTAGTTTTTATTCCCTTCTGTTTCTCTTTTAGCTTGCTGATCCACGATGTTTAAAACCACCATCTGTTTCTGATTCTCATAGTCTGCATATGAAATTGTTTGAAAGCAGAGAATCAAAGTCCTACAACTAAGGGTAGAAAGAGGCAGTAAGGATGTGTCCACAGAACTGCAAGCAACAGGTGCAAAGTACAAATGGAACAGTGCTACTCCCTTCTGTGTCCTTGAAAATTGTTAGTGCAGGGCACCACGGATCAGTGTGTATGTGGCACCAATAAGATATATGTGTGTGTGTGTATACAAAATACGTGTTGAAAGAAGGTAATAAGGAGATGAGAAAAGTCAATTTCTGGCCTATTCTCTCCATCTCCCACTTACTCTGCAAAGAGAAGAAGAAAATGACAGGAAATAGGAACTTGAGCTGAAAGGGACAGTGCTCTAAGTTTGAGGAAGTTGGCCAACGTCTTAGGGATCCCTGGAGTGATGACTGTCGCGCCGGCCTCCATCACTTCCCCAGCAGGGACAGACCATCCCGCCTGACTGCAGTCTTCCCTCTTGGGTCAACCGAGGCTTTCTTCACGCTCGAGCCCCACCTCCACACCTTCCCAATCCTGGCCCTTGAAGCGCCTCGCGGCCGCCATCTTACACTTCACCACTATCGCGAGATATCCTCACAGCCGACTCCAGCCGGACTCGTTTACTTTCTGGCGAGAGCCTCTTGGCGGCTGTTCTCACCGAGCTGAGCCAAGTGTCGCGAGAGCTGGTTGCCTTGGCTCCCCGTAGCTATAGCAGCGGCGGCGGCGGCGGCGGCAGCGGCGGTTGAGGATGCGGCGCGGGAGCGGTGAGTGCGACACTCTCAGGGGGCGGGGTCGGAGGTAACGGGGTGCAGGGGGGAGGGTATCGCTTGGGGAACCGGGCGGGGGGGGGGGGTGTGAGTGGGTGGACAGTCGGGGCGCGCGGGAAATAGGCCTGACAGTGACGTGTGGGGCTGGACCTGCGTCTCGTGGGCACAGGGGCAAGACAGGGCGCCGGTGTGTGCTGGGGCACGCGGGGAAGGCGGGAGCTGCTGGAAGGAGGGGGACCGGAGGGAGGGACCCTGGTGTGGTGGGGTTCGAGGGGCAGGGGGTGGGGTGCGAGGAGGGGTGCGTGTGTGTGTTGGGAGCTAGGAGGTTAAAAAAGGACTTGGAACTGGATAATGGGACAGGGCTGCCTCGGGTAAGAAGTAGGAAGAAATGGGGGTACCTCGAGGAGGAGGCGGTTATGTTCAATGGGAGCCCGGGGGGCTCGGGCCCCAGTTTGTGTTTGGGGCGAGAGGGAGTAGCGGGGAGGATCAGACCTTTGTAGCTCCCCTGGCTCCGCCTAAGGCGTGTGGAGAACAGCGCGCCCAGGACCTAGGTCTAAATGGCGAGGCGGGAACGGTGGCATCCCGGACCCTCACCGCCTGTCTTTCTTCCTTCTTTCTGAAGAAATAACCTGACGGACCGTGACAATGCCAGAGTCCCGAAGAACTAGTATTAGTTGGGAAGGTTCGTTCGGCGGAGAGACTGAATGAGAAGAACGAATAGTCGTATTAAAATGTGGGGAAGGGGCGAGAGAGGGAGAAATTCTTGGGACTACAAAACAAAACTGATCCCCCCCTCCCCCCCCCCCCGTCCTAGGGCGTTTTTCCTATGCAGTTTACTGATTGGAAGAAGAGAGAGAGAGAGAGAGAGAGAGAGAGAATATGAGTGTGAGCGCGCTAACATGCTATGGTTTTTCCTAGATCCATTCAAGTGTAGAGTTTCTTTACGATGTACTTAGGAAATTATGTATGCAGCGTTAACTCAGTTTAGATGATACAGAGAAAGAATATGCAGTACAATACTTAAACCTTTCACAAATACAACTTAGAAAAATTAAGAAAAATGTTTCTGTTGCAGCAAGGGTTGAACTTTAAATCTAGGGATGGTTTTAACTTTGGTATGAAACCTGTCTTACAAGGTGCTTAGATTGTTTACCTTTTAGAAAATGGATGAGTTTTTATTTTTAGGAGATTGAACTTTTTTTTTTTTTTGTCGGTCGTGGGGCCTGAACTCTGGGGCCTGGGCACTGTCCCTAAGCTCTTCAGCTCAAGGCTAGTGCTCTATCACGTGAGCCACAGCTCCACTTCCCGCTTTTTCTGCTTATGTGGTGCTGAGGAGTCGAACCCCCGGGCCTCATGCATGCAAGGCAAGCACTTTACCTCTGAGCCACCTTCCCAGCCCCTGAACACATTTTCCATACTTGTCAACATGAAAATAAAAGGAGTCTCCTAGGAGTTAAAATTACCCGGAGAGGGAAATAGTTTGTTAGTCTCCAGGACTCCTTTCTGGAGCCAGATTTGGAACATTTGTCTCCTTAACTCATTTATAGTGAAAAACTATGCTTCAAGTCAAGCGTAAAAAGTGTATCCATTTTAATCTACAGATACAGCTTTCCAATCATTTGTCTCTCTATTGTATGTAGGAAATAGCAAGGGATAACCTTTATTTTGATTATATAACTGGATTTTGCCATGTTGAGATTCACAAATTCATTAATTAGAATAATGGCCTTTAAATCCTTCTTGAGCTGGCCTAGATGTGGTTAGTCATTGAACCCATTTATTTGGTATGTGTTAGAGTAGAACTTTTAATTTGTCATGTCAGTAGCTAAACTTTAAAGTAGAAGTGATTTTCTGAGTTAAGATAAAATTCTGTGGTAGATGGGTCCAAAATTTGTCTACATGAATCCACATGTTTTACTGAATGCCTGTCTGTGCAGGCATTGCAGGAGGGGAAAAGATTAATTCATTTACCCATGCAATAAACATTTATTGATGATTTGTGTTGATTACTAAGCCTTCAGGCTACAGAAAGCAAGAAAATGATCCCTTTCTTGGAATTGCTCAGAACCTAGGAAGGGAGGCAGACAGTGAGAAAAATAATTACAAAGCAACAATATACCTGAGTATGAAAGAAGGTTCTGGCTCTGAGTTTACATAGCAGTTGATAAGAAAAATAGAAATAAAAACTTTGGAAATTAGGAGCTGGGAAGGTGGCTCAGTGGTAGAGCGCTTGCCTTGCATGCCTGAGGCCCTGGGTTCGATTCCTTAGCACCACATAAACAAAAAGAAAAAAGCTGGAAGTGGCGCTGTGGCTCAAGTGGTAGAGCACTAGCCTTGAGCTGAAGAGCTGAGGGACAGCACCCAGGCCCAGAGTTCAGGCCCCACGAACTGGACCCAAAAACAACAAAAAAAAAACTTTGAAAATTATAAAATCTTAAGCAAAGTCTGAATTATACGGCATTAATGAAACAGTTTTTCAAGAAAGTTTAAATTTAGGCTGGGAAGGTGGCTCAGTGGTAGAGCGCTTGCCTTGCATGCCAGAGGCCCTGGGTTCGATTCCTCAGCACCACATAAGCAAAAAGAAAAAAGCTGGAAGTGGCGCTGTGGCCTCAAGTAGTAGAGCACTAGCCTTGAGCTGAAGAGCTGAGGGACAGCGCCCAGGCCCAGAGTTCAGGCCCCATGACTGGACCAAAAAAAAAAAAAAAGTTTAAATTTAGTTTAGCTACTGACACGACAAATGAAAAGTTCTAGTGCTGTTAGTTCATGGTTGATTTTTTTTTCTTCCCTTTTTTTTCTTGAGATGAGGCATTACTAAATTGCTCAGAATGACTTTAAACTCCAGAACCTCAGATTTCTAGGTGCAGATACGCACCACTTCTTAGGTGCATCAGTTCGTAACTTAATTTTTTTGTTGTTGTTGCAAAGCTGAACTCAGGGCCCATCTATATTCCATCTATATTGTGAGCCTTGCCTAGCAAGTACTCTTCTACTGAGCTAAATCTATAACCCCAGTCATTTAAAAAAATTACTCTTGGACTGGGAAGATGGCTCAGTGGTATATTGCTTGCTTTGCATGCATGAGTCCCTGAGTTTGATTCCTCAGCACCATATAAGCAGAAAAAGCTGGAGGTGGTACTATGGCTCAAGTGGTAAAGCACTAGCCTTGAGCTAAAGAACTGAGGGACAGCGCCCAGGCAGAGTTCAGGCCCTACAACCCACAAAAAAAAAATAAAAAATTGCTCTTTAAGTATCATGATACTCTTATGTGTTTGCTGGACCTGGGACTTGAACTCAGGGCTTGAGGTGCTGTCCCTGAGCTTTTTTGCTACTTAAGCCATAGCTCCACTTCCAGACTTTTTTGTGATTAATTGGAGATAAGAAGTCTCAAGGATTTTCCTGCCTGGGCTGTTTTTATTTTTTAAAAATTTTTTTTCTGCCGGGCGCTGGTGGCTCACGCCTGTAATCCTAGCTACTCAGGAGGCTGAGATCTGAGGATTGCGGTTCAAAGCCAGCCCAGGCAGGAGAGACTGTGAGATTCCTATCTCCAATAAACCACCAGAAAACCGGAAGTGGCGCTGTAGCTCAAGTGGTAGAGCGCTCGCCTTGAGCTGAAGAGCTGAGGGACAGCGCCCAGGCCCAGAGTTCAAGCCCCACGGCCGACAAAAAAAAAAAAAAATTTTTTTCTTAGTCGTGTGTCTTGAACTCTGGACCTGGGCGTTGTCCCTGCGCTCTTCAGCTCAAGGCTAGCGCTCTATCACTTGAGCTACAGCACCACTTCTGGTTTTCTGGTGGTTAAATGGAGATAAGAGTCTTATGGACTTTCCTGTGTAGGCTGGTTTTGAACCATGATCCTCAGATCTCAGCCTCCTGAGTAGCTAGGGATATCCGTATAAACCACCAACACCTGGCTTAATGACAGGCTTAAGTAAATAATAATAGTAAAGTGATTATTAATGTTTTATCTAATTTTATCTTCACAACACTCTGTAGCTGGTACTAAAACCTTCATTTTATTTTTATTTATTTTTGTTGGTCATGGGGCTTGAACTCTGGACCTGGGTGCCAGCCCCTCAGCTCAAGGCTAGTGCTCTTCCACTAGAGCCACAGCGTCACTTCTGGCTTTTTCTGCTTATATGGTGCTGAGGAATCAAACCCAGGGTCTCATGCATGAAAAGCAAGCACTCTACCACTGAGCCACCTTTCCAGCCCTAAAACCTTCATTTCTTTTCTTTTTTTTTTTATTGTGAAAATACTATACAGAGGGGTTACAATTACATGGGCAAGATAATGAGTACATTTCTTATCAAACATTGTACCCTCCTCCTTTGTTTTCCCTTCCCATCCCTTTGCATCCTCCCGTCCCCCCCACCAAAGTTGTAAAGTTCGTTTTTCAACATAAAGACTTGTACATCTCATTTAAAACCTTCATTTTAAAGTAAGGAAATAGGGGCTGGGAAGGTGGCTCAGTGGTAGAGTGCTTGCCTTGCATGCATGAGGCCCTGGGTTCGATTCCTCAGCACCACATAAGCAAAAAGAAAAAAGCCAGAAGTGGCGCTGTGGCTCAAGTGGTAGAGCGCTAGCCTTGAGCTGAAGAGCTGAGGGACAGCGCCCAGGCCCAGAGTTTAGGCCCCACGACCGGACCCCCCCCCAAAAAAAAAAAAAAAAGTAAGGAAATAGGCTTAAAAAGCAAATTGCTAGCCAGGCGCCTGTGGCTCACGCCTGTAATCCTAGCTACTTAGGAGGCTGAGATCTGAGGATCGAGGTTTAAAGCCAGCCCGGGCAGGAAATAATAAACCACTAGAAAACCGGAAGTGGTGCCATGGCTCAAGTGGTAGAGTGCTCATCTTGAGCTAAAGAGCTGAGGGATAGTGCCCAGGCCCAGTTCAAGCCCCATGACTGACAAAAAAAAAAAAAGGAAAAAGAAAAAAAGCAAATTGCTAGAGACCAAAGAGCTAGTAAATGGCAGAATGGGAATCAGTTTGAAATTTATTTGATCC